AAAACCTGATCATTTTTATAGCAAGGCAACTCCACTTATCCCTGTTTTACAAATATGCTTTCTTCATTCACCTTAGAACAGCTTCCAAACCAAAAACCAAACAAATTGCTGTCAAGTCAATTCCGACTCATAGCGACCCTATAGGACAGAGTAGAACTGCCCCATAGGGTTTCTAAGGCTGAAATCTTTGCAGAAGCAGACTGACACATCTTTCTCCTGGGGAGCGGCTGGTGGGTTAGAAAAGCTGACTTTTTGGTTAGCAGCTGAGCGCTTAACCACTGTGCCACTACGGTGCCTTAGAACAGCTTCAGTGGTAATAAAATATTCCAACAATTGGGCTGGTTAAATAAGTTATGGTGTGTGTGTTTGTGTGTGTATAAAACGGAATAACGTGCAGCTTTTAAAAATGGGGAGTCTTGGAGGGACCATCAAAGCTATGGCCCCTGGATGCTCTATTAACCCAGAACTAAAACCATTTCTGAAGCCCACTCTTCAGACAAAGATTAGACTGGACTATAAAACATAAAATAATACTTGTGAAGAGTGTACTTCTTAGTTCAAGCAGATACATGAGGCAAAATGGGCAGCTCCTGTGTGGAGGCAGGATGAGAAGGCAGGAAGGGACAGGAGCTGGTTGAAGGGACACGGGAAACCCAGGGTGGAAAGGGGGAGTTTGCTGTCACATTATAGGATTGCAACTAGTGTCACATAACAATATGTGTACAAATTTTTATATCAGAAATTAACTCGACCTGTAAACTTTCACCTAAAGAAAAATTAAAAAAAGAGAAAAAAAGGGAGAGTCTCTAGGGGTGCAAACAGTTAATGTGCTGGGCTGCTAACCTAAAGGTTGGAGGTTTGAGTCCACTTAGAGGCTCTGTGGAAGAAAGGCATGGCGATCTACTTTTGAAAAATCTGCCAATGAAAACCTTATGGAGCACAGTTCTACTCTGACACTCATGGGGTCACCAGGAGTCAGAACTGATTTGATGGTAACTGGTACTAGTCCTGGTTAAAAGTGGACACCCTGCTAACCCAGAACTGAAACCACTCCTGAAGCCCACTTTTCAGACAAAGATTAGACAGGCCTGTAAAACAAAAAATAACACACATGAGGAACGTGCTTCTTAGTTCAATCAAATACACAAGGCCAAATGGGCAGCTCCTGTCCAAAAGCAGGATAAGAAGGTAGGAAGGGACAGGAACTGGACGAATGGACACAGGGAACCCGGGGTGGAGAGGGGAAGCATGCTGTCACATTGTGGGGTTTGCAACCAATGTCATAAAACAATAAGTGTACAAATTTTTGAATTAGAAATTAACTTGAGCTGTAAACTTTCACCTAAAGCACAATTAAAAAGAAAATGAAGGAGAAAAGTGGTAATGTAAATGTATAGTTATTCACATGGAAAGTTGCTCACTGTATCTATTGCTAAGTGGAAGCCAGTAAGTTGCAAAACACTAATAGCAGGAAGACTATTTGTTAAAAAATACATATGTTCATGTGTACATACACTCGCAGAGAAAAAAAGTAAGAGATATATACCCCGAGTGATTATTTCTGAGAGATGGGAAAATGGATACTGTAAAAATTTTTTAAATTTTGCTTCTCTGTACTTTCTCACATTTCTGTCATGACCATGGGCTACTTGCACAATAGAAAAGAGAAACAGGAAAAGAAGAAAAGTAGGAAACCGTAACGTGTTTGTGAAGTTCAGAGAATGGCAGCTTGAGTGTGGTAGTGGGAGAAGTATGTACTAGAACCTTGGTACTCCAAAAGACCAGCAGGGTCAGCATCCCCTGAGAGCTTATCACAAGTGTGGAATCAAGCCACATCCCAGACTTACTGAATCCAAATCTGCATTTTATTACCAAGAGCCCCAGAGGATGCATAGGCTTGTCAAAGTTGGAGAAGCAATGCATAGACATTCTGGACAGGCACAATAAGCTGAAATTCCCCAGAGGGCCACAAAGCCAATCCAAGCCCTGAGCTAGGAAGCCTGGGGCCCAAGTCAACAGCTCTGGCCTTTGCTCAGGATTCCCCGTCCTCCCCTGCTCCACACCTAATA